ATAAGTACCTAAGTCTGCTTCTTTTCCACCGATCCGGCCATCCCAGCCTTCTCCAAAGTTAACGGTATAAAACACCTGCTGTCCCCAGCGATTATAAACGCGGAAAAAGTTGATCTTACGATAGCCGATTCCTACCGGTCGTAGCACATCATTAATGCCATCGCCGTTGGGGGTAAATCCGCTTGGCACAAATAGGGTAGACTGGTTCACGACACGTACATTCACCGTATCATTTCCTTCGCAGCCAACCTCACTTTTTATATGTACCACATACCTGATAGACGTGGTATCCGGATAGTAGCCGACCGGGTTGGAGATCACGGTACTACTGAGGTAATTGCCAGGAGTCCAGGTATAAAAAGCACCACCTGTAGCACGGAAATAGATAGACTCGCCTTTAACGATCATCGTATCATTCTGCACGCCTGCATAGGGGCGGAAGCGCTCTACATCAAATTCCTTCCTGATCGTATCAGTACAACCCTTAATGCTTTTGGAGACCATCACTACGTTGAACTTACCGCCCGTATCATAGTTATGAATGGGGTTCTGATCCATAGATGTTCTTCCATCCCCAAAGTCCCAGTACCAGCTTGAGACGGGACCATAAGTCGCAGTTGTCTGATCGGTAAAAAAGATCTGGCCATTAGGGCAGGGCAGTCCGCTAATAGCAAAGTCACCTTTAAAATCAGGAAATACTTTTACAAAGCGGGAAATACTGTCCGGGCAGGTAGAGCCGCGGTTGACCACCAACTTTACAATATAAGTGCCGGTATCGGGATAGGTAAATGTAGGTGTGAACAGGTTGGAGGTGTCATCATTCCGGTTGGCAACGCCAAAGTCCCAGCTATAAGCGAAACCGCCGGTGCTCAGGTTATCGAAGGTTACCGTGCGGTTTTTACAATTGACTATATAAGTGTTGAACTCATCTGAATATTGAGGGATGTTGGCCACAACTGCTTTAGAACAGTTCGTCACCACAAACTGAAATTCACGTTTTACGGTATTGATCAATACTCCTTCCCGCCATTCATTACAGCAAACAGTGACCACATACCTGCCTGCCTGGTTGGGCGTACCGGTAATCATGCCGGTGGTCGGATCGATCTTCAGGTTCGGGTTGCCACGCATCGGTACGGTAGCCAGGTAGCCGGATGAATAATTAACGGCCCTGAAATTAATATTCATGGGAACGGGTTTGGCATCGTTGGCAGACCCGCCATCATAAGCGGTACAAAATTCATAGCTTA